CCGGAATGGTTCTGGTCTTCAGTAACAAATTAAAAAAAGTTACATAATTAAAAATAGAATACAAAAAATAATAAAATACTTCTGCTTTACTTAGAGGGAGCAATAGAAAGAAATGCAAAATGCATTATTCAGGTATTTCCCCTAGCATCAGCTTAATTTTTTTTTATCACCAGAAAACCCTACTTCTTCCAAACTAGCCTCCGAACATGACCTTTAAAAAATATCATTTTCCCATTATCTCTTTAAATGATGAAAGTTGTCCTTATATTGTTGCTAATAGAAAGCAATACTATTGGCTAGTTTTCATATACTTTTATCTTCAAAACAGCTGTTAAGTAGCACAGCACATTTATTCTGTTCCAGATCAGTGTACATAGACTTAGTCACCTTCCAAAGCAATCAGAGATCTGAAATCCTAAAACTGGTGCCTTGAACAACAACAATCTATAACACTGTTTTTTCAGTCTGCTGGCCGCAGACCCGTAAGATGTCCATAAGTATCTGCTGTGAGTTGATTAAAATAAACTAAATAAACTTTTCTCACAGTTTTATATATAAAGGCAAATATCTCAGTGTTAGGACATTCCACAAGTGAAAAAAATCTGGAAACCAAACTGATAGAAAAACCTATTCTGTACTACACTTAAGCGACGAAGTAGAGACAAATCAAGTTCCAAGGATATGCACACAACTGCCAGGTAGTCTTTACCACAACACAAATAAGTCCTCTGTGACATGCAGAGGCTTTTGCTATTTAAACCGCTTCATCACCTTACCAACTAAAACTTTTGCAAAGGGGAAAAAACCCAAAACTCATCTGCAGTTCTTCGTGTAAACTTAAACCCTAGAAACCTTCCCAGAGGGGCGCCAGTTCAGAAGAGCTGACTAAAAGAAAGGAATCCTTCAAATAAATGGTGTTTCGAGCAGCTCGCGAACAGCTCCGCCGGGTTCTGCAGCAGTTCCACGCAGAGGGAAGAGGCGACTCAGAGCAGCGAGTGCCACGCGACTCCTCCTGCCCAGAAGGATCCCGGCGGGGCCGCCCCGTGTCCCGGCCCCGGAGGCCTCCCGAGAGCCCCCGGGCCACACCCGCGAGAGCTCGGTGCTGCTCCGTTGTGCCAGCCCCGCTCTGTCAACCGGGGCCGCAGCAAAACCGGCGCTGTACAGCAGCAGCAGCAGCAGCGGCGGCAGGGCCGGGCCCCTCGGCTGCGTCTCTGCCGGGGAGGGAAACCTAGGGGCCGTGCGGCTCTCCCGGGTCGCTCGGGCCCGCGAACCGCAGCAGCCGGGGACCGGCCGGGGACCTCCTGAGGACTTCCCGGGACCCCCCGCCCCACCCCGCGCCACCTGCGCTCCGCACCCGCCGCCTCCTGACGCGGCTCTCGCGGAGCAGCGCCCGCGCACGGCCGAGCCGCGCGGCCTCAGGCCCGCCCCGCTGTGCCACCGCAGCCAATCCGCGGGCACCGCTCACCCGCCGCAGCCAATCCGCGGGCCCCACCGTGCCCCCGCCCCCCCCGCCGTCCCGCAGATGATGTAACTCCGTTCCACGTTGCAGCACAAAATCCTGGGCTTTACAAGTTGCAGCGTTAACAGACGTTTTGTCTGGTCCCGGACTAGTCCAGACAGCCCTACCCACGGCACGAGCTGCTGAGCCATCTCCCACAGCCTCCTTCACCTGGACTCGCCCTGTTCTCACATGTCTGCAGACAGCAGATGAAAGGGCTGTGCAGCCACACTTGTGAGAGTGGCTTTAGCTCCTTAGGCCATTTATATCCTTTCTTTTCTCCACTGTAACACAAACCCCTCCACAAGGGCAAGAGTGCTGGCTTTAGTCTTCACTTTACCTCACATTATCCCCTTTGCATTCACTTCTAAATTAAGAAAATCATAGAATCATTTAGAACCCTAGAATCTCCTGAGCTGGAAGGGACCCACAGGGACCATTAGTCCAACTCGTGCCCATATCCAGGACACCCCAATAATCCCACCCTGTCCCTGAGAGGGTTGTCATAATGCTCCTTGAGCTCTGGAAGCCTTGAGACCCTGACCACTGCCCTGGGGAGCCTGTTGAGTGCCTGATCACCCTCTGGGGGAAGAACCTTTTTCTGAGATTCAGCCTAAACCTGCCCTGTCACAGCTCCAGCCATTCCCTCGGGCCCTACCACTGCTCACAGGGAGCAGAGTTGGAGCTGCCCCTTGAGAGAAAGCTGCAGACACTGGTGAGCTCTCCCGTCAGAGCTTTCCTCATATCAAGGCTATTTCATATATACGATCATCTCCATTGCTCTTCCTCTACCTCCCCAATTAGCCCAGAGTACAGCATGTTACCCAATATGCTGTACAGAACTGCACAGAGTACTCAAATTTGGACAAAGCAAGGATTTATATAGTGGCATAATATATTTTTTTATTCTGCATTCATTCCTTAAGTGATAATTTCTACCATTCTATTTGCTTTTTGACTTTCACTACATCTTCAGCTGACTTTTCAGAGTATCATATACAGTGACCCTCAGGTGTTTTTTTCCCTAGATGTTGCAGAAAAACATGAAAATAGCATTGCTTTCATATTCCTACTAACACAACATGCAACAAGAGCAGCTGAAAAATTACTGAAGCTAAGCCTGAAAGATGCTCACTTTGCTATTGAACACCATTTTTATAACAATCCAGTACAGAGTAGCTGAGAAGAGCAAGGGAATACAGCAAACACAGAAATAAATCAGTAAAGCATTTTACACAACAAATAATATTCACTGGTACAAATATGGAAAAGGTAATGTAGTTTCTGAAGTGACTAAACATAAATACTTTACTAGAGAACAGGGAAGAAGAAAACTTTATTTTAACCCTTTGTAATTGCTTCTCTCAGTGTCCTTAAGAGCAAATCTGGGAAGACAAAGAAGGTAAACACTTTCAAGTATCTGTCAATTCTAGAGTAGAGAGTCAGCTCAGGTATAAGCATTTATGGAAATATTTGAGATATTATTTATTTAAGAAAATAAAACTCGTCCTTACTTCACAGTACAGAGTTGCCAAAGGCTTTTGGTAAACCGTGTAAGCTTTGCTCATTAAGTCTCCTTTATCTACAGTTTTATTACGTTTTTCTGAGGGCTGTCAGGTTACTTAAAAAAACTTCTAATCTGATCCTGTCCTGTCTACCGTGAAGAAACACTATGTGAAGAACACAGGCTTATCACCAAGTCAGGTCAAAACCTAGGTAGTGACTCTTAGGTGTCAGGTGGATTTAAATGTTTTCTTTGGGCATGGAGAAATCTTGTAAGTAGCCACAAGAGACCACCAGCAAGGAAAGAAAACCTGCAGAACAGCAGCTCTGCTCTCACAGGGCCCCAGGGGGGTGGAGGCCCGTGCAGCTCCAACCAGCTCGTCTGGTGCTCGCAGGGGACCGAACTGCGAGTTCCCGGTCGCTCCTCGCGGCAGCACCGCCCCGGGACCGCCGGCAGACCGGGACCGCGAGTCTGAGCGGCTCCGGGAAGCCTGCGGGGTCCGGGAGAACGGGGCTGCGGGTGTCGCCCGGCAGCGCCAAGGCTGAGACACTCCTCCTCTCCTCTCATCCCTCGGCCGCTCCCGGGCCCCGCGCGGGACGGGAACGGGCAGCACCGACGGACGGTGGGCACGGCCGAGGCTGCTCGGCCCGGCCCGGCCCGGCTCTGATCGGCTCTACTCACCGCCCGGTTCTCCCCGGCCCGGCCCGGCCCGGCTCTGCTCTGCCCGGCTCCCCTCAGCCTCAGCCGCCGCCGCCTCACGTCGCTTCCGGCCCCGCCCGCGGGCTCTGTAGCTGCTCCTCCTTTGAAATCCAAAATTGCATCTTCCAAGAACCGATGGTCAGGCTTGGAAAGGGACCTTAAAGATCATCTAGTAAAGATCGTCTTCACTCGGACAGTGTAAAACCAGACCTACTGCCCCAAAAATGGCACGCTGGACAGCTGGCTCCAGACACAGTGCGGGCAGCAGGGACATTCCACAGCGCTGTCCCAGCCCTTCCCAAGGAGTACAAACACTCCATCCTGTGCATCTGACACAGGAGCCTGCCTGGTGTGTGCCACTGACATACCGTGCTGGATACTGGATTGCAAAGGAGGCTATTTAAGATCAGGCAGTGGGGAAAAAAACATGACAAGCACTAAAATACACTGTCATAGGAAACTGCAGATTCTAAATGCGCATCCATTGCTATGGCATGGCTAGAATTTGTACAGGCCTTAATTCAGGCTAGAACAGGTTATGGAAAAGGCTCTTTCCAGCTCCATTTCTTGCAATGACAAAATGTCAGACGATCCAAACATGAGCTAGAAAATACGACATGTTGGAGGTTGAGGTATGGCAGAGAATTACAGTATAAGGTGATGCATTCTTACTTCACATCTTTGCAGCTCATAGATGAACAGTATCTCTGTAGTCACTCTTAACTGATTTATCTCAATAATGCAGAAAATAGGGATGCCAGATCCTTTTCATTCAAGCTATATCCTGACACACTTGGCCATTTGACTTTTGGGAAGTTTCTCCAGCTAACCCTTTGTTAATTCAGTTACTGTCACCTGTAAATTAATTTTCTGGATTCCACAGATCAGAGGCATCAGAAGACACAGGACACACTACAGATGTGTTCTACTAAAAGCTCTGCAAAGGCACAGCTGAGAAGCCACGTCTACCTAAAAATCCAAGCTTGTTGCTATACTGGTACCAGCAGCCCTGTGTAACACTGGAACACAAAGTGTTCAGCGCAGTCTGCACGGGCTGCCCCAGAATCAGAATCCATGGAAGCAGCAGACACTTGCATGGAATTCTTTCCCAGCTAATAAACCATGCAAACACTCACAAAGGTAAACATGTGAAGTTACCCCAAAATCTGCATGTTTGGTTTTGTTTAATTCGCATTATGTCCCTTCATACCCTGACTAATTACAAGTTTTTCAGTTTATTTTTGCACCCTTTTTTACAGTTTGTAATGAGGGAGAGCAACAAAGTTGCTACACGCCGTATATGTACAAAAGCAACAAATACATTTTATTAACAGTAGGCTCTGATCTTCCTGACCCCTATTGATTCCACTGCAATACTTGGCATTCTATGGGGCAGATTTTTCCATCATCTGAAGAATTTAAGATAAAAAATAAATCCTTTGCTAAAAAATATACTTTCATCCAACAACTTCCTGGAACAATTGATCAGATTTCCCATGTGATGGAATGGGGCAGACCAGAAAGTCAGAACATCACCTTTAACTTTGAAAACAGTAAACTTACATCCTGGTCCCCGAGACTTAAGCCAGAGGTTAGGTAAGCTTCAGTCTAATAATCCATCTATAAATTCTTTATAAATAATCAATTTTTAAACTTTAGAACAATTCACAACTCCCTCTGATGTGCCACTTAGAATTTCAGTGGCTATCATTTTCAGTTCAGTTCCTATCCAGACCATAACTGAATGTTTCTTATCTAGGAAAAACTATATTCATGATGGTTTCTTCCATGAGAAAGAGAGATCAGGAAGAAAGATGTCTTGACAAACCACTGAAATTCCACTATATTTCAGAGTACAGGACATTTACAATTACTTTGCTTTGCGCAACACTATTGCTAATGTAAACAGTGATTAAACCATGAAAATTTCAATTGAATATCTGCATTTGAAAAGACACAGAAAAATAAGAGTCAAAAAGTGTCACAGAGGCGTGGTTGTCATGTAACAAGGACAGGTTAGAGTTGACTGGCAGACATGTCTACTCATAAAACAAGAATTCAGGCCACCCAGGAGGGCTCCCGTATTTTAAATGTTCAGTTAGTTCCATACAGAAAAATCAGGTGCTCCTCCAACAGGAGATAACTGAATGCAGCTACAAAATGTTTGGACTGAACTCTGCTCCTCTCTCCAAATTCCTTACTTACAGAGCATGCTTGGTTTCTGGGAACACGGGCCAATCATTTTGACGTCCTCCTCCCTGTCCCTCATTAATGCAACGTCTCTGGATCCCTCCAGTCCTCCAGTGTTTCACTGCAGTGATGTTCACAGGGGGTACATACAGAGAACAGGGGCGTGAGAGGACACAGGACAGAAGCTGGTCCCATGGCTTAATTCAAGAACAGAAGGCACATAGGTATCATAGGCACAGTAAAAGAATCTGAGGAGAAAAGCCTATGATCTGGATCATACTCTGAATGTAACAATTCATTTACTGAACTTTAAGTACAGGCCTCATCTGTTTTCAAAAGCAGAGAATACTAGACATTATTAGAATAAACAAAAAATAGCCAGCCAGATCAACTCTGTAACTGCTTTCTAAATTCACTGCCACCTTGAATGGGAAAAAGATGTCAAATGGGAGTTTCCAGTGCCTTTGGGGCTGGCCCCGGGGTGGTTCTGGCCACTCTGTCATGTCAGTGAAGGTAACAACAGTCGTCACAGGTACCGTGTGTGTGCTCAGGAACTGCAACAAGAGGGAAAGCACAGTTTAGCAAACAATGCAAAATATATATCCCCCCTCAATTTTCTAATGGACACCCACCATAGATGACTGGCAAGCAAGATGTCTTTACAATGGTAGGAGTTAATTGTCTTAAGTCTTCAGTGGAGTAAACCCTCTTTCCCCAAACTGATACTTCGCAGGTAAATTGAGGGCACAGGAAAGACCAGTAGCTACTGTGCATCGTATGTTACAGATCTCCAAAGTGGCAGCAGTGACTCAAGTTCTGCTAGAGTAAGCCTTCTATTCAGAGGACAGACATATCAGCTAGCTAGTAATAAGAACAGAAGCAAAGCTAGCTTTATTTTTTATAAAATTATAAACTGTATGTAAGATAAGATCACCTGGCCCTTTGCTGCCAGAAACAGACAGAACTACAAGATGAAATCCTTTCAATAAAATGTCAATAAAATAAAGCAGGGACCCAATAAAACAATAAATGTATTTCAATAAATTTATTTCTCACTTTTTTTTTTCCTTCTTTTTTTCTCTCTTTATTTTCTTTTTTCTTTTTTAGCTGGGTTGGAAGGGACCTCTGAGGTCATCAAGACCAACCCTTGACCCACTACCACCGTGGTTACTAGACCATGGCACTAAGTGCCACATCCAGTCTCATCTTAAAAACCTCCAGGGATGGAGAATCCACCACTTCCCTGGGCAGCCCATTCCAATGTCTGATTACCCTCTCTGTAAAGAATTTCTTCTTAATATCTGACCTGAACCTCCCCTGGCAGAGCTTAAGACCATGTCCTCTTGTCTTGCTGATAGCTGCCTGGGAGAAGAGACCAACTCCCTCCTGGCTGTAACCTCCTGTCAGGGATTTGTAGAGAGTGATGAGGTCTCCCCTGAGCCTCCTCTTCTCCAGGCTGAACAACCCCAGCTCCCTCAGCCTCTCCTCACAGCACTTGTGCTCGAGTCCCTTCACTGGCCTTGTTGCTCTTTCTCTGGACCTGCTCCAGCACCTCAATGTCCTTCCTGAACTGAGGGGCCCAGAACTGGACACAGCACTTCAGGTGTGGCCTCACCAGCATTGAGTACAGCGGAAGAATCACTTCCCTGGACCTGTTGGCCACACTGTTCCTGATCCAGGCCAGGATGCCATTGGCCTTCTTGGCCACCTGGGCACACTGCTGGCTCATGTTCAGCTTCCTTACAGAGAAGTATAAGCCTTGAAATACATGAGCTGCCCAAAAGACTATGTGATGTCAAAAACAAAAAATGCACCAAAATGGGATCCACTGAAACATGCTTGAAAAAGACTATTCATTGTCCTTTATGGCCCTGTTAGCTCCTGCTGACATCACAGAACCACAGGATAGTTTGGGTTGGAAGGGACCTGTAATGGTCACCTAGTCCAAGTCCCCTGCAATGAGAAGGGACCTCTTCAACTAGACCAGGTTGTTCAGAGCTCCATCCAACCTGGCCTTGAGTGCCTCCTTCTGGCTTACAGCCTTCCTCCTTAATTCTTCAAATCTGCTGCCATCAGCATTAGTCTCTTCCTCAGCTACCTGGTGATTTCAGAACCTCTAGAGGAACAGAAATGTCTTCTTACACAGATTAGCAGCATGCTGTGGGGTCCGTGAAACATAAGTCAACTCAAATTCCGTATCAAGGCTTTAAGAGACAACCAGATAAACATGGAGTATCTGAATCTTTGTAAATACAACTTTATACTCAGCATAAGTTTAAAGTTTGGGTCCTTACGTGGCAGAAGGTGGTTTGGAGTTGGAAAGAAGGTACCTTTTCCAGTTGTGCAACTGTGTGAGGACAGTACTAAACAGATCTCAAAACAATCTATGCAGCTGTTAAATAATAACTCTTGCCATTGCAGCCAGACCACTGCTAAAGTTCAATAAATCTCAACTTAGTTTCAAGACCATTTGATTCCTTGGTTCTTAAGCAACCTGTAAATCCCATTTAATTACCTCTGTGTGTGAGGGAGGGGTTTTAATTACATACCTTCAGGGGTTGACACTGGTAAAAGTACCGTGCGCCCAGTATTTGAGCCTGTGGGTTGGACAGGAGGCCAACTTTAGCCCACAGTATCTGTATCTCCAGGGTCACAGGAACCATGCAACAGGAAGTGCAATTCACAGCCTGAAAATAAAATATACTCCAATCAACTTAATATAGTATTTTAAAAGTGAAAAAGGACCATTATGGTCTAAGTCTAATATTTTGGATAGCATAGGTCACTTCAGCACTAACTCCCTAACTTCTGGTCAGGTCAACCACCCCTTTTGGAGCTATATCCATCTCTCTCTCAAACAGAATTTGCCTCAGCTGTACCATTTGGATTTTGCATTCCATTAGGCCATCTGACAGATTAGTAATTGTTAATATACAAGCACTTTGGTCGCAAACTTTTAACCTTATTAGGTGATATATAAATATCCCTAGAAAACAGAAAATCAGCAAGGATGATAACAATAAAACCATCAAATTAATAGCAAGTAACCAGGTACTATTAGTTCTAGAAGGCTGTCAGAAAACTATGTAATACAACACTGGATTCAGTATTAAACTCTTTTGGCCCACTTAGATAGCAGGAACAGAGAGAAATATGAAATCTGTCAGGGTTTGTTGGGGTTTCTTTTGCTAAGTACCCTAACAGTAGGAACCATGACTGCTTACAGGTATTAAGACTCCTAAGAGTCAGAGGATCATCACACAAGGAAAGTCCAGATACCCATGCTTCCCTCAGGCAATACAAAGATATGAAAGGAAAAATATTCACAGCTGGTCTTCCTGCATTCATATTACCTGGACACTGCAGTTCTGAACCAGAATGGTCGTCCACTCTTCTGTCTGGGTTGAATGAGCACTGCCAGTTATAGCAAGGTCCTCTGCTCTGTTCATCCCCTGAAAAGCCTTGTATAACTTCTGCTGGATGTAACTACAGTTACTCTCTTCCAGTAATGGGGATAGGCTGGAAATGAGAAAATAACAGCTTTGACAAAGTGATTTCCAGGACAAAACCCCCACTAGCAACATCCTGCCTTTGTAATGAGTATTTCTTCTGCTCCTGTTATGAGTCAACAAGTATTGGTATTAAACAGATGCAATCATCTCTGCAATGAGAAGGGAGAAAAATATGGCAGGGTAATGCATGATAAGGAAAACTGACAGCTCTTTAGCCATCTTATCATACCAGTGGTCCTACATCTGCCCTGTCAAAAGAACAATCCAAATCATCAAAACAATCACTTTTAAAGATTCCTTTGTAATTCACTCCTCAAATATAAACTCTACTCTTGTCCAGGACATATTGTCAGACTACAGCCTCACGATGTCCCAGAAGGCCTTCACAATGTTCAGATTATTCTAGTGGTCCCCCATCTCCCTGATATCCAAGTTTTCTTAGGAGGATATGAAAGATCTGTAGAGACCCATTGGTGACCTCAGGGAAGGACCCTGGCTCCACAGCACTGCATAACAGATGTGCTAAGTGAGTCCACACCTTCCAACTGTGTAAGGAAGGACAACTGCAGAGTGTGTTATTACCTGAGGTTGCAGCCTGTTCTCATGTTCCTTCCAAATTGTACCGTGTGTCTGAGGAACTGTGAGCAACTTCCATCACTTTCACTCCGTAAAATACTCATCTGACAGACTGCACGTCAAGAAGCCAAATAAAAGCATAAACAGACAGTACAAGTCACTCATCTTGTATTTAACAATCCACTCACCCCACACTCCTCCTTTTCCCTATCAGAGGACTACAAAAGTCCAGACAAGGGAGTACCAGAAGTCAAGAAACCCAGTGATAAATAAAAACTGGCAGCAGAAAAAGGATACATGCTGCATGGCACCACTGTTTGCAATCAGCAATGGTGCTCCAGTGATATAGCCAGGGTTTCCACTTCTGGGCAACATATGAGAGAGGGTCTTGGTCTACAAAGATGCAAAGGGAAGAAATAGAAGAAGAGGAAAATATTGGCATCAATGAGATCCATTAATCTCTGAAGATCAAATTCATATTCTCAAAAATGTAAATGTAAGCCATTTTTTGAGTGACTGAATATTATGCACTACTAAAACTCCCATTATTTGTTTCCAAAGTCTCTTTCTTACCTGGAAAGTTCACTTGCAGTCCAGGAGGTAAAAACTAAGTGTCAGTACCTAAAATGTGGATACTACCAGGAAAGCTCTCAGGACAATGAATTCCTACTGCTCAGCATTTGTTTCTGAGGAAGTGAACAAATCAGTCTGGGCAATTCTACAGATGAACTGCAGAACAAACCCTGCCTTGACCCTGATTCTTAGTGGCACATTCCACTTCTAAATTGTTTTATGGTGAGAGCCTCTGGGGCTAACTTCAACAAGGTTGCACTGCACACTTATCAACCCCTGAGGTCATCACTTACCCAACTTTACATTGCCTCTATAGGACAAGATTTATGTGAACTTAACACACGTTAGTATTTCCGAGATTTGCACCCCCTCCAAAGTAACTCTCTTTCCTGCTGCACAGGCAAAGTTAAATAAGTACCCGGAATAAATTTAGCAACTTTGTTCACAAATACTGAACACCTCAGATAAAGCAATAGCTTCAACCCTTTCCTTCACAAGACCATGCTGGTGACTCCTCTTCCCTTCCACCCCCAAAAAAACCCCCAAAAAACACCCAAACCAAAACAATAGCAGAAATAATCAGATAAAAACAATCAGCCCCTTGAAATTTGTGCAACACAGGACTGCATGCTTGCACTGAGCCTGAATTTTTCTACTAGGATGGTTTACTTGAGACCAGAAATGCATCCCTTCCTGCCTTCAACTACCATCTGCATCCCAGGGTTCTGTTACTACTTTACCACAGTGACACTGCTCGAATCTTTTCAGATCTCATCTGTATCAAAATTGGTCATGAACAACAGACTACAAGCTTGGTAAAAGCCCAGAGAGGATGGGGGCACTGACCCAGAAGTGCAAAGTGAAGTGCTGCTGCAGAGAGGATCCAAGGTTCCCAGAGATGTTGCTCACTTTGAACTGGACAGAAACACTCTGAATCCCACTCGTGCCACTGTATTCTATCTCATAGATCACCTGAAAGTCCAATCCAGAGGAAAATCAGAGACAGAGAAAGGCAATAACTTTGTGCTAAGCTGCGCAAAGGAAAGGAGATTCACATACCTCAGAAACCACATTGGTACATGTGTTGTCTCTCATGTGGGGAGCTCCAGGTGGTGCAACTGCAGTGACATTTACCTGGAGACAGGAAGCACATGAACAATTATTAATTGTTTAAAAGGAGTGTGCATTCTTTACTCTTTTCCACTGCTTTTCCATCCAAGCCAGATTTACCTCCTTGCTGTAGCTGTGATCTGTGGGCACACCACCCTGCTCCAGATGCCCAATTTTTTTCCAAGAAAACAACCTACCTCCCTGACTTTAGCCCCATCTGTGCCCATTCATTTAAAAGTACATCCTTCCTTATATCCCTATTTTTTTCTACAATGTCACACTTTTGTCAAAAAAACCCCTTGTCTCAGACACAGCACATTCCCATTCTCCCAAGTTCCCAACCTATGGACATTACTATGAATGCTTAAGATTTCAAGTATGTTTTGTTTCAGAAGTAGAAATTATTTCCATTGGAGACAGAGACTGACCTTCATGGACTGCACAATGGTGCCACTAACTGGGACCTGGGGAAAATAAACAAACCATTATATAACACCAAAAAAACCCTAAGTAAATTTCTGCATTTGCAAGTGCCTAAAGTCATGAAATCATCACTAAACAGAACCTACATATTATATTGACAAAATTACTTGGTTTATTCCATATGTGTAAAACTTGTCATCATTTTGTGATTTATAAATCACAGGCCTAATCCACAAAATGCATTTTAGAACATCAGAAGACAAATTTAATCTTGGCCTTGCTAATGTCCTGCAAAATGCAGATACTCTGAAGTATCATATCTCTGATCCATTCCTGGAACTCCTTCTTCTGCCATCAAGTAATTACTTTAGCTTCCAGTTAAGGAAAAACTGAATTTTGGCCACAATGACAAAGAAAGCCCTGAAAACATGAGTTAAATCTGATCAATAGAATACTCTCTACTACAGTTATGCTGATTTACATTTCCAATATAAGGGGGAACAGAGTCATCAGCCTTAGTAAGATGTTCATATTTACAATGTTGTTTTCTTATGGAACACCAGAGAAACTCTAGAAGGCAAGAGGAGATATTTTCATATAAACATTCAGAAAGACCAGCATGATGAATCCAGAACAGTAAATCTGTTACTTTGAAATTAAATCAAAATAAATAGTGGAGAAATTTATATGGAATTCAATCTATGACTGTAAACAGGGCTAATATCGGTAAGTGGCCTTCCACACGATTTTAGAGGTAACATATTGTGTAAAACAAATCCTCATTCTTTACTGAGTACATGCACTATTTGGTTCATCAAGCTGATGGAACAGAAAGGAATACTTTGAAAAACAGTCTGTTTAAAATGCAAGAGAGTCTATATAAACCATTAAAACTATGAAGTATCAGTGAAGCCCCTGTTAAATCCATTAATAATTTGCTAATAACTGAAATTTATTTGAAAGTAGTTTGAAGGATTATCACCAATCACAACATTTTTAGCAGGTGTCCCAGCAAGAAGGCCTCAACAACTGGGAGATCAGGAATGACATACTAGATGACCTTCAGTTTTCCAGTTAGCTGAAGTTGCAGAGGAAAGCAATGCAAAGTCAAGCGACTGTGATTTTGCACAAAAGCAAGAAGTCTGACATGCACCTTCAGCACAGTGAAATCCCGGTAGTAAGAGGCAGCGTCGAGGGCAGGGTCAGTCATGCAGCTCTTGCTCAAATTGGCAAAAATCCGAGTACAGCTTGTACTTTTACCGTCCAGGAAGCCTGAGTTAAGACATGACAACAGATCAAACAGAAGCAAATCACCCTAAGATATTCTTCCCCCTTTACTAACCAGCAGGATTTCCATCAACACAAAGTCCACTGGGTCCCATTTTTACTGGCTGTCTAAGCGTGCTCAGTACAGATGATGAATCAAAGTAGATTAGGATTGGATCGCCAGCCTGAAAAGACAATTTGGAGAAAACACAATTACTGTGGAACACAAGGTTATGTCATCATCAGGGCAGAGAGACAAATCTATACCTCTTCTTTGTGTACACCCAGCTTTGCCTAAAACGTTGTCCAATCTTTTAAATACAAGAAAACTAATCAGGAACTTTCTATACACTAAGGAATGAAAATAACTGAGAAACAAACACTTTAACAGTGTGCTCTGGTACCCAGGAGGGCCACCTCTGTCTTGGGGTGCATCAGGCTCAGCATCATCAGCTGGCTGAGGGAGGGGATTGTCCTGCTCTGCTCTGGGGTGGCCTCACCTGGAGCCCTGAGGGCAGCTTTGGGCATCACAACGTAAGATCTAAAGCTATTGGAGAGCATCCAAAGGAGGGCAACGAAGACAGTGGAAGGGAAACCATATGAGGAGCAGTTGAGGGCACTTGGTCTGCTCAGCCTGGAGGAGACTGAGGTCAGACCTCATCGGGGTCTCCAGCTTCCTCACAAAGAGCAGCAGAAGGGCAGGGTGGATCTCAGGGAAAGGTTCTTCCCCCAGAGAGTGGTTGGGCACTGAACAGGCTCCCCAGGGCAGTGGGCACAGCACCAAGGCTGCCAGAGCTCAAGGAGCGTTTGGACAACACTCTCAGGGACAGGGTGGGATTGTTTGGGTGTCCTGGGCGGGACCAGGAGTTGGACTGGATGATCCTTGTGGGTCCCTTCCAACTCAGGATACGCTACGATTCTGTGATAATATGGATTACAGGTACAAAAGTAAGAGTCTTTCAATCTGTTGTCATTAGATCTCATCAGACAGCTTTAGTAGAAGTGTATGTACAAACTGATTATGATTTCAACTCACACGGTAAAAAGCAGAGAATGATGGTTGGACTTGTGATGGTGCTGTGAAAGAGTGTCTGCCATATTTCTCTAAGAACTTCATAAAATCAGATTCTTTGATATCCTGGGGCTGTTGGAAATAGTTCAGCTTTGCTAGAGTTTGAAAGGAGAAAAAAAAGAAATCTGCCAATATCAAATTACTAGAAAAGATAAAAGTAAATATTGTGCCAACATTTTTAAAAGGAACAGCTTCAGTAATCATAAGCTAGATGGTACCTTATATTAACCCAACTTAACACTTCTAACAGGCTAATATGGTCTAGGAATAGGATGACATCTTGAGTAGTTTGTACTGTTCATGATTAAGAGATGTTAATACACGAAGTGACTTTCCAAAAAGCATGAAAACTGCTTTACAACTATTTTAATGTGCTGTCATTTCTGTGAGATACCCAAATTAGACACACATGACATTTTAATTACAAAGCACTACCAATTTATGAGATCATTAAATGGATTCAAAATAATTAAGGTTGGTACAACTCAAAAGTAAGTATAAATAGACAATAGGCATCCTAAAAAACAGACTTTTGCATGGTCTTCCACAGTGATTCCCTCTTGACCCAGTGGTATTCAACAGTATGGTTACAATGCTGTAATGTATTAAATTATTGCTCCTAAAACACTGTTATAAAGTGGCATATTATTAAAGACGTGCCATGCAGACTCATCAATGTGTTTGTTCGAACAATAAACTTTTCAATACATCCAAATAAAACATCTTACAAGGTTCAAGGACCAGAGATCCTACTGACAACAGGAACAAGTGTCATTATTCTCAATTACCAAAGGAGTACCAAAAAGAATTTAAGTAATCCAGTAGGTTTGGGGGAAAAAAACATACATTAAAAAAAACCACCAAACAAGCTTTCAGTGTAATTCTGCTGTTTAAGGGCAGAGCAGATGCTCAGAGGAACAGTGGAGCAAGCAGAAACAAAAGCTTTTGCATACAGCATTAATCAAGCAGTCAAGTAAACCTTTGAAGGAGATAAAAGTCAAAGGAATATTAAGCTCCTCCAAGGTTCACAAAAGTAGGTGCACAGAGCACCTTGCTTAATAACCACCTGAGGGTATAATCATTAAACTGAAAAAGAAAACACTTGTAGTTGTGCTCTGAATGTACACAAAACATTCAGGCAGCATCTGTAAAGAGCTGAGAAGCAGGACTAGATAGTACGAAACTAACCCTGTTCTGTCTAGTTGTTGCACCCGTTAACCTCCTGAGCCCTACCCAACCTAAAATGCTCATGGATTTAGGTCAGAAGTAGCTGGGACTGTGGGTCAAAACTCCCAGACAAATGATTCAAAAGAGAAAATGGTGTGTTCAAATGTGAGACCCTATGAACAGCAATAAATGCCAGAGAGTTGGACATCAAATCAGTCAAATGAAATACAATGTGGAAAAGAGGAAAAGAGTGTTAATGGCATATCCTAAAAGAGTATATGATTACCAGTGAAAAAATCATCGCCAGATGAGAAGATGAAAATAAGCATGTATAATAAAGAATACAAAATTCAGCAAGAGATCACTTTCTGAAAAGTATAATAGTGGGATATTTCAAACATCCTTACTTGCTGCATTAAGTGTAGCAAAGTAAGTAAAGTATCTCAGATACACAAGCAATCGATAAAGGCTGATTTGTGCTTAGCCAGAAACCCTGCCCTTACACGGAGTGCAATCATCTTTGTGTCTGTCTTTGGTGATCAGACCCCGATTCATTATGCTCTCTCTGGAACAGCCAAAATAATCAGTAACAATTATAACGTATCAGTTTAAAAAAAAAAAAGATTCCCTAAGCAGAGGCAATCTGTGAACAAAAGATCTATGAAGAAAGGTTACTTACAGTCATTCAGCTGCACACAGAACAGATCATGTCCACCAGGGACAGCAATGATGTCTGTAGGATAAGGGGTGTTACTTCTGAAAATGAGTGACTTTTCCACACACACTTGACTCACAGACCTGCAAAGACAAGCCCCCCACACCCAGCAAACTGTTAAATAGGCTATTCTTGCAAAATTTCCTATTTTATATTACTCAATGCCAGCAACAGAACACAGTATTACTTTTCATCAGTTTAGACGTGCTGTTGTACAATCTGCACTGATAATCAATTACAGAAAGCCTCTCTTGTCATTGCAGTAACTTTGTGAAGCCTCCCTACTACTATATTCAAAAATCACTCTGAAACTCCCTGGAAGAAAAAGTGGTAAAAAAATTCAGTGTCCATGTATGACAGCTGCTCTCGGTTCTCATCCCAAGTGCAATCTGCGAAGACAGATTTTACTCTGCAACAGCCGAAACCATCCTCCTCACTGACGGAATCTCGCGGTCCGTACTTGCTGGACTATCTCTCCATCGTACAATGCTCCTTTTAGCACGACCGGACCTCCCAGCTCCCACCGCCAGCGGCCTCATCGCGGAGTAACTGAGCCGCGCTCCTCCTGGGCCGTCGCGGTGCCGGCCCCGGGTGTCCTCTCGCAGCCCCCGGCCCAGCGCTGCGCTGTGCCGGTGTCCCGGGGCCGCGGCCTCAGCGCGGCGAAGCCCGGGCGGCTGAGCCGCGGTTGCCGCCGGGGCCCGGGCCCAGTGTCCCGGGAGGTGCCCCAGCGGCGGGTGCCCGTCCCCTGCCCACCTGCTGCGGCCGGAGCGGAGGGCCGTGCCCGCGGGGGCGCGGACGGGCAGCAGGGCCAGCAGGGCCAGCAGCGCCCCGGCCCCGCGCATCGCCGCGCCACGACCGCGCCGAGACACCGCGCCGAGACCCCGCGCCTGCGCGCCAGGGCCGGGCCGGGCCCTGCTGCGGGGGGAGCCCTCGCAGCCACTCGTTTTGTCCCAGGCGCGGGGCTTTACGCGAGTAAGAATAAAAGACAGGCTGTCACACAGCTCGTTTGAGCGCAACCACGTCAGCCAACCCACCGTGAAGCATGGATTCATGGCATTACGTTAATATGCATCTTGGGAATGAAGGGAATGTGTGTCTATCTCCACAGTCATACATAAACTCCAGGGTACATAATGAGATGGGACAGCACCCTCAGTACAGATTGTGAAGTTGGCCCTAAGCTCCCTTACCGTAGAGCCGAAGGAAAGGAGAAACAGACGAGAAAATGCTACGGAAAATCATTTTTGTACTCTCTTACATGTTAAAAAACCGCACTATAGAAAAGCCCTCTGGGAAGGACAAATTTGTAACACATGAAAGAATCAGAAAGTAATTATAATAAAAAAGCACATGGAGCAAAACAATGGTTCCTTTGACACCTGTACTATTCTCATTACAAAAGTTGCCGGTGAGAGCATTTCTTAGCGCTGCCTCCATCCCCAGGAAGCCACCAGACGTTACCGGTGTCACCCGCGAGCCCCAGCCCGCGCCCTCCGCGGTGGTTCCGCACCGGGACCGGGGCAGGCCCGGCTTCAGCTTCCCCGCCTGGGCCCGGGGCCGCGGGGGCTACCGAGGCCAGAGGGGCGGGAGGTGCGCGCGCGTGCTGTGGGAGCGCTGCCGGGATACTCGTGTGTGCTGTGGGAGCGCTGCCGGGATACTCGTGTGTTGTGGGAGCGCTGCTGGGATACGCGTGTGTGCTGTGGGAGCGCTGCTGGGATACTCGTGTGTGCTGTGGGAGCGCTGCCGGGATACTCGTGTGTTGTGGGAGCGCTGCCGGGATACTCGTGTGTTGTGGGAGCGCTGCCGGGATACTCGTGTGTTGTGGGAGCCGGGAGCTGGAGCGGCCGGGGGCGGCCCTCCGGCGGGCACCGCTCGCGGGCGGTCCCCTCGGCTGCCCGGGCCAGCGCTTTCCTCCTCGGAAAGGCCCCGCGCCCGCGGCGTGAAGCCTCGGGCGGGCACGATGGCGGAGGCGGCCGTCAGGGAGCGGCTCCGCGCCGCAGAGCGCGGCCGAGGTGAGCGGGCGGGCGGGCGGCGGCTGCCACCTTGTGCCCGTCTTTAAGTAAAGGAAACGTCACACTTCAAGCGCGAAAACGGCTTGGTCCTAATTTGTTTTGTAATTAAACTGTGTATGTGGAGAAAGCATTCTTTCTCCGAATGCTTTAAGCATGCTGCTTGGCTGTTGAAAGAAGTGAGTGCTGTAGTGTTCTTTCTAGAAGATCTAGTGTTCATCCGGTCAAGTTCACTTCATAGAACAGCTTTAAGGATTTCTGTGCTAACAGAAAGCAAACTGCTGAGTTTACGGAATTGTGAACTAGGGATTCCAAGTAGTTCACTTTCTGGTGTGCTAAAGTTACTGATTTTAAATAGCAAAAGACTTATTAATGCTTCATCTTAGAATCACGTCTGACTTTGAACAACATGTGTTTGATATTATTTTTCTTAAATATTCTTAATTTATTTCTGTGAAGGAAAGACAGGATATCACATAGCGCATTTGAATGCAATCAAGTCAGTCAATCCACCTTGAAGAATAAATTCTTTATTCCTTATGTATTGCAGATGTTCAGGCTTTGAAGAATGCTTACGAGTTGATCAAATCAGCCAGTGAAGGAAAATCTGCACTTGACTCAGATACCTTCAGCACCGACTTGTATGTTTTATGTGCTGAACAAGCACTTCAGGTTTGTAATTTAGGCAATGTATCTGTATTGAATAAAAATACGTATATGACATACTGTATTTACAGTTGTTAAACCTATTACCTCAAAAACAATCCCAGAAATACTTGAGGGAAGTATTATGCTCTTCTGGTTTTGGAGAGCAATTGTTTAAACATGCTTTTTCCCTTAAAACTCAGCCTCTGAAGTATCACTTTTTTATAGTCAGTCATCAAACTGTGGTTTGTGAAGTTTTCAATTAGGCCAAAATATGGCAGGTATACCATAGCATATATAAAATAGTTTGCCATGCCTGTTTTTTCTTGTTATGAAAAACTTGAAGTTAGCAGTTTGGTTATGACTGAAGGAAATGTGTCTGTGAACAGACCCTACCAGCCAAAAGAAGGAAGATTCTACACCATTCTAATTATGAATCTTTTTTTTTTCCCCTAGGCTGCAATCCAATCAAATTCTGTGGTCTGAAAATTGACATCCATACAAAATCCTGCCAGCTAATATCCATACTTAAAAAAAAAATTTGTTAAGAATTTTGTCTTTATATTAACAATTGTGTTAAAAAAGGAGACATTTTTTGACTACTGTAAGCAGTTTCAGACTGAGTGAGGAGTTTTGTTAAATAAGGAAGCTATCTTTTGATAAAAAATGACAAAAATATGCCTTCACATTTTAATAAATTTTAATGGGCTTGTACCACATCTGGTACAAGTCTGCATCTTTGTGTAATGTTGCTTGCATACTGGTATGCAGCTGGATGTTCCCCTTTGATTAGGCATGCATTTTTAAAAGCGAACAGTTCTTAATTGTTTGTTGCATTTCTTAAATATTAAAATGCTTTTTCTGGGGTCTTAGATGGGATATCCAGAAATGAGCAGTGACTGTCTACGGATGTATTTTAAAGCAAGATTTCCTGTGAACCAGTTTCTTGGCAGAGCCTATTTGTGCCAAGGCCAGTTGCATGCTCTACACTCTACAGATAATTTGGTGAGAAATTGTAAAGGTTTCTTTATATTGAGCCAGTTCTTAGAAGTATTTATTCCTAGGTTTTAATGTATTGCTTTCAGCTATTTTAAATACACAAGGATAATCGGAACTGTGGGAAAAATAGAAGGAAAATATATTGAGTAATTTGTGAGTAAACAAAACCAGCTGAATTTGACTAATATTTCAGATATTTTGGGGAGGACAATAAAAAGGAATGCTTGCAAAAGTTTTCAAGCAGTTGATTGTTTTGAAGTCAACCTTTTCACTTTTTACTTATATGTGATACTTTCAGACTGAATCACTTTAACTCTTAAAGTGATTACCAGTTTTATTCAGGAAGCATTTCACAGGCTTGTGGGAAGTGGAGGGCTAAAGGAGAGAGGTTGCAGAGTTGCTTTCTGTGGCAGTGTGCTTCTAGCACTCATCAGTAGTGTTTCCATGTAGTACTTTGGATGTGGCTTTATGTAGTAGGAGGTGGTAGCAACTCAGCAGGATACTTCTGCTTCTGTGTGTTGCTTTTACCATGTCCATAAGTGTTTACCTCTGGCTGATTTTAAAATGGAGTGGGATCTGTTTAATGTCTTCAGTATTTCACTCGTCCTTGTACTATGGTCAGTCAGCTTTGATAATCTGTTAATGGTATCTGACCACTGAAAATGGTGTTAACAGATGTTTAGAATCATGGAATATCTTGAGTGAGAGGGGACCCACAAGGACCATCCAGTCCAACTCCTGGCCCTGCACTGGACACCCCAACAATCCCACCCCATCCTTGAGAGCATTGTCCAAATGCTTCTTGAGCTCTGTCAGCCTTGGGGCCTTGACCATGGCCCTGGGGAGCCTGTTCAGTGCCCAACCACCTTCGAGGGGAAGAACCTTTCCCTGAGATCCACCCTAACCCTCCACTGGCACAGCTCCAGCAGTTCCCTGGGTCCTGTCACTGCTCACAGGGAGCAGAGGTTGCTGCTGCTCCTCTGCTGCCCTTTGTGAGGAAGCTGCAGACCGGGATAAAGTCTGACCTCAATCTCCTCTTCTCCAGGCTGAGCAGACCAAGTGTCCTCAGCTGCTCCTCTTATGGCTTCTCCTCCAGGCCCTTCACCATCTTTGTAGCTCGTAGTTAGTGTTGTGTTCACAAATTTCCTTTACAGATGTTGCAGTAGTTTCTTTGAATAATGTGTTTGAATTAACTTTCGAGCTAGAATCTTTTCCCTGTCATCTACACTTTGTTTCTTCTCAGAGCACATGGGCAGAACAACTGTTCAACGGTCCCTTTGAAACTTCATGCACATTTGAAAAGTGATACACTTTGTATCAGTTGTAAAGTTTTTTCACTGCTGTGTTCGAGATAATTTATGAAAATAGTAGTGGTGCAACATCTCCTACTGTATGACTAGTAATCATGATTCACTTAGTGAAGATAAATTTGTCCTTATTTTGGTTTCCAACTCAAGCAATCCTTCTTAGTTGATTAAGATTCTTATGTTCTTAATTATAAGATGTTCTTAAATTTAAGATGTTTTTGCTCTTAGGGGCCAAGTGCAATTTCTCTATTTTAGTATATATTTCATCTCAGGCTCTTTTTTCTGGTTTTCTCTTTATCTATGTAGTTTCCATTAATTGCTCAGTACCCCTCTTATGCCATCCCAGAGCCCAGTAAGTCAGTTCCAGCTCTCTTTGAGAGTTTAATTACTCTCAAACTCTCAACTCCTCTGCTGTCATCCCTTTCCTGCTCACCCAGTTCCACCTCCACTTTGCCATTTCCACTGAAACTTCCTTCTAGACTTTTAAAAATCCCTGTTGACTATCTCATCCATCTTCTTTACACCCTCCCTTCGGAATTTTTACAGACTCAAGATCTCTCCTGAGCTGTCTTCTTGAGGCTCAGCAGTCCCAGCTCTCTCAGTC